CAGAATCTTTAAAAAAATAATGTCCTTAAAATCAAGCCTTGGTTCTTGAAAAAATTTAAATATTTAAAAAAAAAATGTTAATTTGTTTTAAACTTTCCGATCTCTTTTAATTCTCAATTTAATAAAACAAAATATTTCTTTTGATAATTGAAATATATATCGCCTTCTTTTTTTGATTCGTATCCAGCTCTCCTATTTTATATTCACCACACGGTTATGCATAAATTTTCAACAGATTTCAAATTTCAACATCTTTGTTTTATTTTATTTTTTCTTCTTCTTCCAGCTTCCCATATTGCAATACTACTCTAATAAAATATGTAAAGTGGGATAATTTTGTCGACAATAAATTTGTATGAGTGTGTGTGTGTGAAGTAAAAGAAAATGGCTGTGAACCACAAGAATATTTTTTTTATTGGAAAACGTTTTTTTTTTTAATTTTGCTTCACAGACGCACTGTGGCATTGAGACTGCGCACTTAAGTCTAGGGTGTTAACCAGATGTTGTTGTTCTTGCTCTGCTGCTGTTATGGTATTTGGAGTTAAATAATGTTGTAAGTTTCTCTTCACACACACATAGACACAAACATTCAAATACGTATGCTTACATTTTACTGGTATATCCTTTTCGAGAGTTATTCGTATTTTGGTATAACCTTAAGTGGAGTCTCAATGATGTGTTGTTGTGTGCTGTGTGTATTTTCATTGTATTGTATGCTGTTTGTATATGTATTGATGGTCATGTTCACTTTTTTTATGTTTTCGTCCCTATTCCTTCCTTTTGTGCTTTCAAGTATGGGTCTTTGTTTTACCGTCGGCCTTTGGCATTTTTGTCATCGTCTTTCTTATAATCATTTTTATGGTTTTGTACTATTTGATTGTGTTTTATTGTTTTTGGTTTTCTTTATTTCCATTATTTACAAGAGGAATATGGCCAGAGAATAATGGGCGGAGTCTTTTTTACTGCTGGTTGTCCTATTGTATGGTTTTATGTCGTATTATATTTGTTTTTGAGAAAAAAAGCGTATAGGGGATTACTGATTCGAATGTTATTTAAATTCGAAAACTTAATTTTCACTATTTGTATATATTTATTATATATTGTGTGTATTTTTGAAACCACGAAATATACTTTGGAGGTCTAAAATCAATTCTTAAACAAAAAATACAAATTTAGATGTCTGATGTCCTTGAAAAAATATTTTTTAAGAAATGAAATTTTTAGATGTGGGCTTGAGGGTCTAAATTCATTAATGTGAGGTTCTATAAACGTGAAAATTTTTCTTTGAAATTTAAAGACAAATTAATGAACAAGTAATTTAAAAATCTAAGCTTGGCCTGTGGTTTCATATTAAAACCAGTGAGCGGAGCAGTATAGTCGGACGGGGGCGACCATACGATACCCTACACAACTACCACTGAACTCAAATTTTCTACGGATGTTATTCCGAGCCTGGGCAACATTTCGTGATATTTGCACACTCTTGCCCGATTAGAGGTAAACAGCACCTCTCGCTCACACTGACATATTTTCCGAATATTACGAGTATTCAGTACAGTTATTGTCCAGATTCCCTTCACCGTGGGTTGTGTTGTTGTAGATCGACTCGAAAATAACACAAAAAAGTAAGTTTTCGGTCCACTTTATTCCAAAATTATTATCTGATCATCACCGAAAATTATAGGCGTTGGCCTTGACCATAACTGGAACCTCATGAAACATTTCACAGCGATCAGCGCTATGTTCGGCTCTCTAGAGTGATACCTGTAAATATTTAGGTGTAACTCCCACATCAGAGGTCAACAACTCCTCTTGGATATAATATCAACTTTTCGGGTCTATGTCCTTCAGGGGTAAATATATACGCTATAGAATACAAATTTTGTCATTTTTCACACAATAGTCTGGGTGCATTTGACCCGCTAAATATTGACCGATCTTTATCAAAACAGGCATGCTTATTCTTTGGCCCGACCCCCTTCTCCATGCAAAAATTTCACGATGTTCGGGCCATTATTGCGGTCTGTAGAGCAACCAGAAAAACCGACAAAAATTTAGTATTTGGTCCATTTCATCCCCTAAATATTAACCGATCTTTCCCGAAAACAATAGGGGTTTTCATTGGCCAGAACCTATTCTACGTGCAAAATTTCGTGAAGATTGGTCCATAACTGTGGCCTGTATCGTGTTTACAAATTATAATGGACAGACGGACTGAGGACGGACGGACGGACGGACGGAGGACGGACGGACGGACACACATGTCTAGATCGACTCAGCTAGTCGAGATATGACGATCGGTATACTTAAAGGTGGGTCTAGGACCAATATTTTGCGGCGTTACAAACTTTTGGGGCTTCACAAAGCTATACATCGTCTGAGAGTACGTGAAGGAACATTGTTAAAACTTCGCTCTTGGAGGCGCCATAAAAATTGATTTTACAAATGCAGATATATGAAAGAAATATTAACTAAATCCCACCTACTCTGAAGTTCCACGAAAACTAATTATAGTGTAACGTCGTTCTTCTGGGTCGAACATTTTATAGCCTCCACCATAAAGTCGACATTCAGAATATCTCAAATTTATCGGGATTATTATATGGGGGTTATGCCATTGTAAATTATTTACAAGATTTGAAAGGCGAACCAAAAAGGTGGGAATATGTTGATAAGAAGGCCGATTTGCTACCCAATGAGAACTTCAAATATGAAGATGAAGGGGTGTGTTCCTTGAACATTTATTAAAAAAATAAAAGACCTTATAAAATATATTAGGTTGGGGAAAAATAAATTCATTATTATTATGTGAACTGTAGGACTTTATTTAATATTCGGAATGTATAAATATGCGCCGTTTTTTGTCATTTTAAGGGTAACTTCATAATTCTTCTCTAATAGAAGTCCTGCCTTCGTTTGGTGCCAAGTGCGGACTGTATGGCGGATGCATTAAAACTTTCCAACCAAGCTCCCAAAGTTTCTGGCGAGTAGCTGTAGATGTGTGTAGCCTAGCGTTGTCCTGGTGGAACACGACACCTCTACCGTTGGCCGTTTCTGGTCAATTGCTATCTTCATACGGTCCAGTTATTGACAGTAGAGATCAGAACTTAGTGTTTGGTCAAATAGAAGCAACTCAGAACAAATAATCCCCTTCCAGTCCCACCAAATGTATAGCATAACCGTCTTGGCTGTTAGTCCTGGTTTGGCCACCATTTGAGGTGCTCCATCACTCTTTGGGCACGATCGTTTTCGCACAGGGTTATCGTATGTGATCCATTTCTCATCTCCAGTCACCATCCGTTTAAGAAATGGGTCTATCTCATTCCGTTTGGCCAAGGCTTCGCAGATGGAAAATCGATCCATCCTATTTATACCCTACACAACTATGTTGTCAGGGTATTATAGCTTTGTGCAGCCCCAAAAGTTTGTTACGCAGCGAAATATTGGTCGTAGACCCACCTTTAAGTATACCGATCATCATATCTCGACTAGCTGAGTCGATCTAGACATGTGTGTCCGTCTGTCCATTATAATTTGTAAACACGATACAGGCCACAGTTATGGACCAATCTTCACGAAATTTTGCATGTAGAAGACCCCCTGTATGAAGACCCCTATTTTGGAAAAGATCGGTTAACATTTAGGGGATGAAATGGACCAAAATCTTTATTTTTGTCGGTTTTTCTGGTCCAGATGCCGCAATTATGGCCCAAACACCGTGAATTATTGCATGGAGAAGGGGATCGGGCCAAAGGATAAAAGTGGGTCAAATGGACACAGACTTTTGTGTGAAAAATGAAAAAATTTGTATCTATAGCGTATAGATTTACCACTGAAGGATATATAGACCCGGGGAGTTGATAGTATACCCAAGAGGAGTGGCTGACCTTTAAATTGATTACAATTTTATTGTCGTATGTATTCGGATGTGGGAGTTTACAGGTGCTTACCTACTCAGATATTGCCACACTAGAGGGCGGAAATATAGCGCTCACCGTTTTGAAATTTTTCACTAGTATCCAGGTATGGTCAAGGACAACGCCTATAATTTTTGGTGATGATCAGATAATAATATTGGGATGAAGTGGTCGAAAACATATTTTTTTCGATTCGATCTACAGTCCACAATTGAAAGCCGAACATCACAAAACAACCCACGTTAAAGGGAATCTGGACAAGTAATTAGAAGGACTGTACTGAATAGTAGTAATATTTGTTGACCTCTAATGGGTCAAGAGGATGCAAACATCGCCCATGCTCCGAATGTGGTGCCACAGAAAGTTAGATGTTCATGGAAGTTGTGTAGGGTATTATATGGTCGGCCCCGTCCGACTATACTGCTCCGCTCACTGGTTTTTCTATTAATTGGTGTGGCACCCAAACATCGAGCTTCTTTTTGAATCCAGCTTTGTGTAAATGGTCAAAACCCGTTTAATCGTCAATTTTTAGCTCCTGAGTGATGTTACGACTGCTAACAAGCCGGTCAACTTGTATCGTTTCTCCGATTTTATCAACATTTTGGACGACCGACCTAATGGATTTCGTTTTCCCCAACCTTATATTTTTTATAAACCTGTATGGGCCCTTGAAAATAATTTCTATGAAATCTTAGCTTTTAGCTATGAAGGTCCTTAAGATGATTCTTAAATCCTTGCGTTTATTGGTGCGAGGGTCCTTGAATCTCTGGTAAATATTTATTTTAGAAATCCTAGATTGCAGCTGCGAGTGTCCTTAAAAAAAATTAAAAACTTCCATGCTTTTTGCTATACGGCTCCATTGCTGTGTGGTTGTTTTAAAAATAATGTCTATAATCCACGAGGTTCTAGAAAATTATTTTTTGTATAATTTTTTTCTTTCCATATTCCCTTCAAATTGCTCCCAATATAAATATAATTCCAAATATATTATTCTATGGTGTTGAAATGTTGGAAGGGTGCCATTTACTTATATGCAAGACGCACTCTATCCTTAATAATTATTAAACCTATACAAAACTTTACAAAAACTTACCTGAGAATCTTTAAGACCCAAACGTTCGGCCAATTTCTTGCGATCCGGTTTGCTGATATACTTTTGCTGCTGGAAACGTTTCTCTAAGCCTTTACGCTGGGAATCTGTATTGCAATAAGCGAGAAGAATGAGAAAGAGAAATATTAACAACAATAAAGTTCCAAGAAAAAAACCAATTAAAATTAATTGCTACCAATATTAACTACCAATAACAGAGTTCCCACAAAAAACAATAATAATAATAATCTGAACACCCCACTCAAGTAACCAAACTGTAGAAATTACAGGTTAGGCTCTTTTGCTCTTCGAAAATTATGTCCGTCCGTTCGTCTGTGACAAAACCACAGCAATAAATTAAAAGTGTTTTTCCCCCCATTGACCAGTATTGGCCACATTTACACTTACCAGAGAATACAGCACGACGCATCATACCCCTACGTGGTTTACCACGTGTTGAATGTGCCCAGGGAAAGCCTTGTCCAGGAGGCAGAGGGAATACTTGAGCACCAACTGTAAATGAAATGAAAATGCGTGGGAAAATTTATAAAATTGCACTGAATCGGTGGTGGGGAGAGGAGAAAAGCAGGTTGGGGACAAATGTGTGAAGTGTGGAGAATTTTATGGTTGTTGCAGTTGCATTTAATTGTTGCATGCATGGCTGTGTTGCAATTTGTCCATGGTGTTGTCGTTTGACAACAATTAGAACACTCACGCACAGCTGTATTCATTTCAACACCCAATTACATTTGATTCACATTAGAAAGGATATTTAGAAATCACAGACACACAACACACATGTGTGTGTGGGTGGGTGGGTGTGTTTGCATGTGTGTCTACTTACCACTCATATAGGGATTCCTACAGTGAGCCAACAATGAATGCAAGTGTGGATGCTGAAGACTATGCGGCAGAAATGGTGTTGGTCGACTAGGCAGGGGTTTGGCAATTACGGCTTGCGGATGTTGCGGTTGCTGTTGTTGGCTGTGTAATGGGGGTCCACCACCTCCTGGATTGTGTAAAGGCATTGTTTGCTTTTCTTGACCCGCCGTCGTTCCCAAAGGCATTGTATGTCTTCGATTGTTATCCTCCGTTGAATCGTGTGACTGGTGTTGACTGTTATCCTTGTCATTTGGGCCATTGTTGTTGGAGCATAAAGTGTTGCTGCTGTTGTTGTTGTTATTACTACTGGTATTCGTACTGATACTGTTTGCGGTGCAGGTGGAATGATTGTCACTATCACTAATCGTACTGCCAGGTGATGACGATGATGTGGTTTGCGGTTGACAACTATTGGCGGCGACAATGCCATTGTTGTTGTTGCTGCTGTGAATGTTGCTGTGATTGTGCTGATGTTGCGTTAGAAAAGCTGGATGCGGAAAATGTGAATGATGTATGAAATTTTGTTGTAAATAAGGCCAGATATGTTGTGGTTGCATAAATTCTGAAATTAATTGGAAAAACAGAGAAAAGGGGTGTTAGAAAATACACAAGGATTTAAAGTATTTAAAAAAGATTTAAACAAAGTTTTTAAAAAAAATCAAAGCTCACAGCTGTGTGGATATTTAAAAAATTATTTAAAAAAACTAAAAAATCTGCTTTTGTATCTGCGTGTAATTTTTTAAATCCAAGCATTTATCAGTTTGGGTATTTGACAAATAAATTTTAATAAATTAGTGCTTATATTTTTTTAATATGCGTGGGTCCTTGAAAAAAATTGAAGACATTCACGCTTATAGTTGCGGGTACCTTTTAAGGATATTAACAAGTGAAAAAGCGTTAAGCTCGGCCGGGCCGAACTTTGGATACCCTCCACCATAGATATACTGATATGTACTAGAAATGAAAATATAGGGAACATACCAAAAAGTGGACCTATACCGACATTTATAAAAACGTATTATATAAACCATAATACAAATTTCAGAAATTTTTAATGGATAACTATACCCTCAGCCTTATGGCTAATGAGGGTGTATATAATTTAACATGGTGAAAACGTGCCTTATCGAAATTTTGGTTCTAGACCCCATGTTTCTTTGGACCAAATCCGTTTCAGAAAATTAGGATTTCATCCAAACTTTGCACATCTTATTATTTCTTCCAAACTTAGTTCAAATTCAAAGATGGGGAATATCGGTCCACTCCTTCTGGAACCTCCATACAGGCGCTAGATCTATATGCGTCTATAGTTCATTATCGAACCTTGCGTTTGTATCTCGCTATCCTCCGCTGGAGAAATGATTACAACAGAGTCTTAGAACCAAACTCAAAACGAGGAACAAATGAGATAACTAATTTAATATAGAAAAGGGGTTATATGGGGACGACCCCAAAAAGGGGGCGATTATTAATAATTTTTAGTAGGGAGATTTGTTACCATATACGACCAGAAAATACCAAGTTGCAGCAAATTCGGCTAAAAAATGCGATCAAGAACCCCAAAATAACGAAAATTGGGGGTACCCTTATATGGGGGCTATCCGAAAAAATGAACCTATATTCATAATTTTTGTGGGGAGATTTGGTACCTATTAAGAACTCAAAATACTAAGTTACAGCTAATTCGGCGGAAAAATACGATCAAAACCACCAACATACTAAATATTAGGAGGTACCGTTATATGGGGACTACTAGAAAAAGTGGACCTATATTAATAATTTTTTGTGGAGATATTTAGTACCCAATAAGAACCCAATGAAGCAAATTTCAGCGAATTCGAAATACCGAAAATTGAGGGGTACCGAAATACCGAAAATTGAGGGGTACCGATTTATGAGGGATACCAGAAAAAATTGACCTATATTTATAATTTTTAGTAGGGAGATTTGCTACCAAATAACAACTTAAAGTACCAAATTTTAGCGAATTCGGTTGAAAAACACGCTCAAAAACCTTAAAATACCGAAAATTGGGGGGTACCCTTATGGGGGAGCTATGCCTAAACGTGGGCCGATATATCTCATCTTCGAACTTGACCTAGATAAAATACAGCTTTATGCAAAATTTGAGCATCCTAGAATTTTACCCTGATCAAGAATATATACTTTATAGAGTCGGAAATGAATATTTCGATGTGTTACAAACGGTATGACAAAATTAATATACCCTCCATACTATGGTGGAGGGTATAAAAAATCCTAGCATTTATCTAATTGGGTCCTTGTAAATAATTAAAAAAAATCAACACTTACAACAGTTTTAAAATAAATCTGCACATAGTAATTGAAAATATCTTTGATAAACAATTTTAGGAAATCCCCGCTTATAGCTTATTATTTTTGGAAAGTCTAGAAGTATGCGCTTATAACAGTGTGGGTCATTGAAACTAATTTTTAAGAAATCCGCGCTTATAGTTGTGTGGGTCCTTGGGAAATAACTGAAAAAATCTAAGATTCAAGCTATAATGTCATTGAGAAATGTTTTAAAAAAAATCATTATTAAAGCTATGTGGGTGCTTGAATAATATTCTTAAAGGATCCATCTTTATAGCTGCGTGGGTCTTTAAAATAATTTGTAATAAAAATCTGTAAAAGAGATCCACCCTAATATTTGTAATTATCCATGAAAAGTCTATATTGTTTTTAAAAATACACGTCCTTATAAAAATATCTGTAAGAATCCAAGGTCTTCTATATAGATTTATGAGTTTCTCATATAGAAATGCTCTTATTGGTCCTCCTTATAGCAAGTCATCTGCAGGAACCCCTCCTTAGTGGCATTCTATCTCTTGAAGACCTCATATGCCATATATTAAAATAAATTTACATTTGTATGTATGTGTGTGTGACTACATGTGTGTCTCAAAACCAAAGGGTTTCGCTGAAAACTTTCCATCGTAGACATCAACTTCTTGGAATACATTTGTTGATCTCACATCACATTTCGCATTTTCTCAAAAAGTGAAATAATCCACACTTTGAAGTGTCAAAAGATTACACAAACAACAACAACAATCATGTGAATGATGCGTATAATTATTTCCAACAATACCCAGAACTGTGACGATAATGACTTAAGTTATATAATCATTAGCAGCAAACAGCAACACCCACCCATCCACTGCCACCATTCAAGGAATAAATTTAATTATTAAAATTTCTTTTGAAGTCATAATTTGTTGTCTGCAGGCGGATATGGGATATGTGAACATACATACACACATAATTTTACATATGACGATGATGGGTGTGTGTGTGTGTGTGGAAGTGTGCAAGAGAGTGTTTATTTCCGCCATCCAATGATTTAAATATCCTCGTATAGGATATGTGTACGAATCTTTAATAATATCCTTTGTTTTAAGGTTAACTCATTTAGCGAAGTCGGGAACGGCAACAGGATGTCACCTGGAAGCTTCAACAACTATACACAAATAGCAGACAGATTGATTTTGTAACATGATGTGAAAAATCATAGGATAATATGGTGTTGTCAGAACGTCGGAACATCTACTATACCCAAAAGATGATACTTTTTTTGAAAATAAAAAATAATTCTAACCAGGATATATATTGAAAATTTGTTTGCGAGAAGTACTCCTTGCCTATTCAAAGATGCCAAACTTTTGTTAGAATCGGTGGAGAGTTAAAATCGGTGAAGAGTTAAAATTAAGCTGCAATATTTAGACAATATCAAAATCTGGGTCTATATTTACAATGTGAAATATCAAACACACTGGTGGTCGACAATTGTCCCAAGAACCTTAAAAATTGTAAAATTTTGAAATCGATATAAGGGAATATTTTGAACAACATGCTTCAATATTGACTTGGAAGAAGAAATGCCTAATTTGTCTCCCTTTGGATGGGTACGTCTAGAAATAATCCACTTATGACAGTGTGTCTTCTAATTTTCGAAGCATTTCGATGCAGACATGATTCGATTCTCAATTGTAAAGTGGAGTCGCACTTTTATTGGTCTCCTGAGTTTTGTGCACAAATATATCCTGTCCTAGGCAACACTTGGGCGCCTTGCATAAATATATCTTGTCCTAGGCAACACTTGGGCGCCATTTGAAATTTTCATTGGAAAAAAATACTACTAAGTATGGGTTAACGTGCGATCATGTGTTGTGTTGTTTACAGTAACCTGAAAAATCAGTTTGCCAAAAAATGTATTCAATTGTAGCTGACGCTCTCTTAAAGACGTAGGTCGTGAAAGTTGTCCTAAAGCGACCACTGTGAACAGTTATGCTGTTAGTGAACTGATAATAGAAGATCGTTGTGTGATATATCGTGAGATAGATGATATGACGTGATTAAAAAAAAAAATACAATTGCGGTACTTAAAAAAACACTTATATTTTCATTTCCAGGAGGTGCTGTTGATGTACTCGAAACTCAAGTTGGAAAATTTGACTATGACTTTGAAAATTGCGAAAATGACGCGTAAAAATATTCTGTAAAAAAGATGTTTAGTTTCCATCGTCCCAGAATCCTATAATACAGTCACTTTGATTGAAAAATGCAGCAAAGACCATATGGGGGCTACACACAAATATAGAGCGATATTTATCAGTTTTGTTAGAAAGAAAAACATGTCTGAAATCCTCAAATACCGACCGATGGGTGTACCATTATTTGGGTTACTATACCAAATTGTGAACTTATATCTATAATTTTTTGTTATGAAGGTTTGTCAAGATGTCGGTGGGAAAGCATGCCTGAAATCTTTAATATTCCGAACACTGGGTCTATCCTTTATTGAGGCTATAAGTAAACTCGGATATTTATATTTTTAGGAATATTTGCCATCCAATGAGAAGTAAAAAAGTGTCAATCTGTATTACCAACAGATATAGACACCCAGTCTATAATATTCGGAGGTCTTTGGATTTATTATAGACCAAATCGGTTATTCAATTTACTTAAAATTAAATGTACAAATTTATACAACATTCACCGTTTGTGGGTGAGGTGCCAGAAGGATAGGACCGACGGTTCCCACCTTCGGACTTGAACTAGGCTTTGGTAAAGAAAATAGGTCGTGTAAAGTTTGGTGAAAATCAGACATTCCATTCACCTGATATTGTATTTATAAATTTTGGAAATTTTGACCATTTGTGGGAGAGGTACCAGAAGAAGTGGTCCAATGAGTCCCACCTTCGGACTTGATCATGGTTTGGTAAACATAATATGTTGTGCAAAGTCTGATTCAAATCGTATAGTCCGTACGCATGATATTATTAAATTTAATTTCAGCAAAATTTTGACCATTTTGAGGGTTAGTATCAGAAGCAGTGGACCGATATTCCCCATCTTCGAACTTGAACTACGTTTGGAAGAAATATTATGATATGCAAAGTTTGGAGGAAATCAGTTACTCCCTTTAAGTGGCGGACGGACTTTTGTAAATCGACTCCAAATTATCAGAAACGGGTTTGGTCCAAAGAAAGATGGGGTCTAAAACCAAAATTTCGATGATTCACCTTTTTGTCGTATCAA